TTTACTTGACAGAGAGAGAGAGCATAAGCATGGGGAGTGGCAGGCAGAGGGAGAAGCAGGCTCCCCGCTGAGCAGGGAGCCCATTGTGGGGCTTGATCCCAGGACTCCAGGATCATGACCTAAGCTGAAGGCAGACACACTTAACCGACTGAGCCACCCAGGCGCCCCATCATTGTAATTTCTTAACCATAGTTTCTTAAAAGTACATTTCTCAATTTCTAAACTTAGGGAATTCTCTAGTTATATTTTTGTTATTAATTGCTCTGTGGCCAGAGGACATGCTCTGTATGATATTAGTCCTTCAGAATGTGTCGAGACTTGGTTTGTGGACTTCTCTACGGTCAATTCTTTTTTTTTTTTTTAAGATTTTTATTTTATTTATTCATGAGAGATAGAGAGGCAGAGGGAGAAGCAGGCTCCCAAGGAGCAGGGAGCCCGATGTGGGGCTCAATCCCAGGACTCTGGGATCATGACCTGAGCCGAAGGCAGATGCTTAACCATCTGAGCCACCCAGGCGCCCTACAGTCAGTTCTTATAAATGTCCCACATCTAATTTGAAAGAATATAGATTTTGCATTGAGTGCCAAGTTCTGCAGTCGATTAAGTCATATAGCTAAGAATGTTTAAAATTTTCAATTCTGCTGTACCGTTAAGAATTCTTTGTCCATTTTTTTTTTTTTTTTTTTTTAGATTTTATTTATTTATTTGACAGAAAACGAGAGAGCACAGGCAGGGGCAGAAGCAGAGGGAGAAGCAGACTCCCTACTGAACAGGGAGCCTGATGCGGGGCTCGACCCCAGGACCCTGGGACCATGACCCGAGCTGATGGCAGACGCTTAATGGACTGAGCCATCCAGACAACCCCTTTGTCCATTTTTATTGATTATTGAGAAAGCTATTTTGAAATCTCTTACTCTGGGAACTGCCCTTTTGCCCTATAGTGCTATCAACTTTTGAAATATTTTGACACTATGTTATTAAGTGTATATATATTTAAATTTTTATATATTTTTCTGGTTACTGGAATCCTTTATTATTATGGAATACCTGTCTTTATCTCTAGGAATGCTTTTTGCTTTAAAGCCCATTTTATCCTGATACTAATACAGAAACACTAGCTTTCTTTGGTTATATTTGTATGGTATATCTGTCTTCACCCTTTAACTCAACCTTCTTGAGTCCTTGTTTTATTTATTTATTTATTTATATTTATTTATTTTTAAGGTTTTATTTATTTGACAGAGAGAGAACAAGAAGGGGGAGCGGCAGGCAGAGGGAGAGGGAGAAGCAGGCTCCCTGCTGAGCAAGGAGCCCAATGCGGGGCTTGATCCCAGGACCCTGGAATCATGACCTGAGCCAAAGGCAGACACTTAACCTACTGAACCACCCAGATACTCCTTGAGTCCATATGTTTAGCTCAGGTCATGATCCTGGAGTCCTGGGATCGAGTCCCACATCGGGCTCCCTGCTCAGCAGGGAGTCTGCTTCTCCCTCTGACCCTCTTCCGTCTCATGCTCTCTGTCTCTCATTCTCTCTCTCTCAAATAAATAAATAAAATCTTTAAAAAAAAAAAAGAGTCCTTATGTTTTAGATGTGTTTTCTGTAAATAGCCTATAGTTGGATTTGTTTTTTAATCTAAGCTGTATTCTTTGTTCTTACCTAGAGCATTTAATCCATTTATACTTTTTAAATGCATGGTAATATATTGACTTAAGTTAACTAGTGAAGTCTGATTTAGTTGATTGATTTGACTATCAGAAGATTCATGTGGTTAATCTAATAGTTTATAAATATTTATATTTATATTTACATAATTACTGATATATTTGGGATGGTATGTCCAACCTATTCTGCATTTCTTTTTCTCTTTTTTGCCTTCTTTTAGAATTACTGAATAATTTTGATATTATATTTCCTCCCCATGGTTTGAAATCTGTGCATTCATTTCTTTTTTTCTTACTGTGTGCTTAACTTATGGAAGTCTAAATTTAATTGATACCATTACCCTTCTCTCAGATAATCAAGGCTTATAAAATAATTTAATTCCATTATATCTATAAGTGTTTTCCTGTATTTGAAGTCTATCTTGTTTTTTTAAGCTCACAAGGCATTATTATTATCTTTCAAAGTTTGTTTTCCTTTAGATTTATCCAGTAGTGTGCTGGGAAAACAGATCTCTAGGGGAAGAAGCCCTGATTTATAGTGTTCACTAATTCCCATGGCATAAAGACTCCCACCATGGCCAATTTCAAGTTACCAACCATTTAACAACCACCTTGTGGGATTTAGCAATAGGTTCTTACAAGCCAGTATGAGCTGGCTCCAGCACACTGTTGGCTATGTGGTTTGTATGTGTGTGTATGCATATGCATATGTGTGTGGGTAGGTGTGTCTCACTTCTTTGTTCTACAGTCTTCCTTGCATTTCAGACTTCCATCTGTGACCACTTTCCTTCTGCCTGAAGTATAGTCTTTTGACTTTTCCTTAGAGAGGGTCTCCTGGTGGCAAATTCTCTGCCAGCAGAATTGTTTGAAAATATTTTCAAATTATTTTCTTTTGATTCTTGCTGGGTATAGAATTTTAGACTGATGATTTTCTTGGGGAACATGCAAGATATCATTCTATCATCTTTTAACTTCCATTGGGGCCCTTGCAAAATCAGTTTCAGTCTGTTACTCCTTTGAAAGTAATTGATCTTTTTTCTCTGGATGTTTTAATTTATGTGTTTGCTTTGGGTGTTCTACCATTATACCATGATATAACTAGATATGAATTACTTCCAATTTATCCTGCATGGGATTTATTAGTGTTGAATCTTTGGGTTTTTGCCTTTCTTAGTCCTGGAAGCTTGAGTTGTTATCTCTTCAACCCTTGCCTCTAATTTTCTCTCTCCTCTCCTTCTGGAACTCCAATTAAACATATGCTAAACCTTTTCTGTCTTCCATGTCTTTTAACTTCTCCTGTATATTCTATAATTTTATCTCTCCATGTTGCATTCTAGACAATTTCTTTTTACCTATTTTCCAATTCACTAATTCTCTCTTTAGCTTTATCTAATTTCCACTTAACCCATCCATTGATTTTTAAAATTCTATTGCCTTTTTACTTTTTAATTTCTAGCAGTACTCTTTGGTTCTTCTTCAAATCTTCTAGGTCATTACTTATAGTTTCCTATTCCCTGAAGATATTATCACGCTTGCCTTTGATGTCTTTAATATTTTAAGTATAGCTGTTTTATAATCTTTATTTAAGGACTCAAATATCTGCAGTCTATGTAGGTATGTTTTGCTGTTTATGTTGGTTTATGCTGGCTTTCATTCATGATGTTTTATTTCATTGTGTGCTGCACCCCCTCTCCCACCACCTTTTAACTGTGTGGTGTTCGTTAGTATTGAAAAATAATATGTGTGGATTCTTTGAGGCCTAGACTGAGAGTATCTTCCTCCATAGTGTTTTGTGTTGTCTCTTTCAGGTACCTAGGTACCTGCCATCTAGGGTCCCTATAACTAAATTCTTGGTTTGGGGACTTCCCCCAGGTGATGTAAATTTAGACTGCAAACCTACAGAAAGTTAGCTTGTGGTTATACATTTTCAGGTTTTTTTTCTCTCTCTCGTTTATCCAATGCCAAGGTAACTTTCCTCACAGCCTCTGGGGTGAGAAAGGGGCAGGTTTATTTCTGGTTTACCCTTATCTAGGAGTGCCTAATGTGGCCCTCCTAGGTCCCAGCCTGATGTGGGACCCTGGAATTTGGAATGGGTGCAAAATATTTTATTTACTTACCCATTCTATTGTTACCATTTACTTATTTATTTTTTAAAGTTTATTATTTTCTTTTTTTAGTAATCACTATGCCCAACTATACCCAATAATCACTATACTTGAACTCACAACCCTGAGATTGAGAGTCGCATGCTTTTCTGACTGAGCCAGCCAACTGAGCTAGCCGGGTGCCCCTCTATTTTTACCATTTAGATCAGTTCATTTTTTACTGTAATAAATTATGTTGTGCTGAATAGCTTTATGCAAGAAGCTCTTATTGTAGCTCAGATTCTTCCTTTGGGATAAATTTTCCAAAATGGAATTCTCAGATATTTGTAAGATTTGTACATATTAACTTCCAAGGGGACTGTGCCAGTCCACATTCCCTGCAGTATTTAAGGATGTTTTTGTCTTTTGAGAAAAGTTGGAGTCTTCTTTAATAGGTTCTAGACTCACACGGTGAACCATTGAAGAGGAATCAAAGGCGATATGGTGAAAAGTCTCCTCCCACTGCTGTCAGCTGCTGCCACCAAGCTGTCCCCTGCCCCAGAGGCAGCTCACTGTTCCTAGGTTCTGCTCATGGGTCCCTCTGACCAAGCAAATAGGTACCTCTAGTGTTTTGGGTGTTGTTCTTAAATAAATGGTGGCATACCACACACACTGTCCCAAACCTTACTTTTTGCACTTGACCATAAGCCTTGGCGCTCAGTGCCCATCAGTACATAAAGTGCTTCTTCAGTCATTCTGCAGTGACACAGACCTCCTGGGGTAGGGGAACCGTGGTGCATCGAACCCTCCTGCTGATGGACATTTCTGCTGTTTCCATTGGTTTGCTTTTTTTTTTTTTTTAAGATTTTATTTATTTGACAGAGAGAGATACAGTGAGAGAGGGAACACGAACAGGGGGAGGGGGAGAGGGAGAAGCAGGCTTCCCGTGGAGCAGGGAGCCCGATGTGAGGCTCTATCCCAGGACCCTGGGATCATGACCTGAGCCGAAGGCAGACACTTAACGACTGAGCCACCCAGGCGCCCGCCCATTGGTTTGCTTTGACAAACCTGTTAATAACTTTGCGTATGCCCATCTCCCACATGCATGAGCATGTCTTAGGATGAACTCCCAGAAGCAGGATCACTGGGTGTAAGGATAACGCCTTCGGTAATCTGGATGAAACTTGCCAAAGTGGACTTTCAGGGGTGGCTAAGTCAGTGATCAGCTGTCTTGCTCCTTGTTTCTCTCCAGGGTGATGCTGACAGGGACCCTGTCTGACCGGCAGCCTGCTGAACTCCACCTCTTCCGGAATTATGATGCCCCGGAGTCTGTACGGGAGCCTCGATTCAGCCAGAATACTAACCTCAAGCCTCCAACTCAGCCCTCAGGTTAAAACCATGTCTGATGCATCTGTGGGAAACAGTCGGCCTAAGAGGCTGCGGGGTGGAGGGTCGGAGTCATAGGCTTGCCGCCAGGCACCCCCGGCCCACCACCATCCCACCCACTGCCCCCAGTCTTTATCAGCTGAGGGCAGGCAGAACTGGGGAGCTCTTCCGCCTCAGGCAGCCTAGAGGAGCCTCCTGGAGGCTCTCAGTTGCACCCTGTCTTCTACCTGGACAGCAGGGCCAGAGAGCATGGCCTGTGGGTCGTGCTTCTGAAGAGTTCCCAGCCTCTCCCTCTTCCTGCAGACCCACAGACACACATGCACATGCACACTGAGATCTGCAGCGCATGGGCATTGTACCAGTTCTCTGTGCCACTGGGCCACCGTCTTCCCTCACCCCCCAGAGCAGCTGGTGTGGAGGGCTGCCCGCAGCAGTGGGGCAGCCCCCACCTACTTCCGGCCCAATGGGCGCTTCCTGGATGGTGGGCTGCTGGCCAACAATCCCACGCTGGACGCCATGACTGAGATCCATGAGTACAACCAGGACATGATCCGCAAGGTGAGAGCACCTCCAGTCAGAGGGGCTGGACATGACCGTCCACTGTAGCCACCGTGTTTCAGCAAATCTTACTAAGGATCGCCTCCTAGGAGAGCACGTGGCTTTTATTCTTAGGCTCATTCATTGGTGCGTTGGATAGCAGCTTTAACTCACACTTGAACCTGCTTGATGGGTGGTGTCTGCCCAGAGCTCTGTGCTAATCAGAGGGATTCTGAGGCCCAATCTGGTGTGAGTGGTGAAGGGCGCCTAGTGGGGAGAGCGGCGGGCACACCAGGACATGCCAGCCTCAGTGCTGGCCGCTGCCCAGCCTGGGAACACGTGCTTGCCCTTGGGGAGCTCACGTCTAGGAGACTGTTTGCAAATGCCGCTCCAGGGATTTCGGGTGCTGTGATGGAGGGCTGTGCAGGATCCTGGGAGAAGGATTGCCTCTGCTGGGAGACCTGGGGGCTCGGGAAGGGCGCACGGAAGAGGCCTCTAGGGAGGAGACAGTGCTGAGTCAGTGATCCGGAGGATCAGAAGTGGCCCTCAGCCCAAGGAGCTTAGCACAGAGGTGGGGCAAGGCCCATGTGTGTTAGCGGCCGTGCTGTGCGGTGGGCTCAGGCCTCAGGGCCAGACAGCCACAGGGTTGGTGTCCCGGCTCTGCCCGTGTTTCACTCCAGCCACTGCACGGGGGAGTGATGATACCTGCGGAGGGGACTGGCATGAGGCATCCGCGTGCTTTTCTGTAAAATGTGTAGGACACTGCCCGACCCCTCGTGTGCCAGGTCCTTGCTGGCTGCCGTTCTCACTGTGGTCGTCAGGAAGCCCCGGATGCAGCCCCTGGGTGACACAGCAAGGGCGGCCTGCACAGAGGCAGGCGCCCTCTAGGGCCCAGACAGGGCAGGGCAGGCTTTCAGGAGGAGGAGGGACTCGAAGATTCGGATGGGGAAGGGTCTTCATCATCTAAGTGGCCTCCTGTGGTGGATGAGGCCCCTGGGGAGGGGGCACTTGCCAAGGTGCCCAGCATATTGGCAGCGGAGCTTGTTGCAGAGCAAAGGAGGGGACAGCACAGGCTCTGCTCCTGCCGCCTGGGGAAGGGTCTGCCGGCGGGAAGATCCCCTCCAAACTACCCCTGTCCTGTCCCCAACAGGGTCAGGGCAACAAGGTGAAGAAGCTCTCCATTGTGGTCTCTCTGGGGACAGGGAGGTCCCCACAGGTGCCCGTGACCTGTGTGGATGTATTCCGTCCCAGCAACCCCTGGGAACTGGCCAAGACCGTTTTTGGGGCCAAGGAATTGGGCAAGATGGTGGTGGACTGTGTGAGTATGGGCCCCTCCCCAGCTCCACTGCCCTCCCGGCCTCAGCCCCTGGGACCCTGGGTGTCAGGGAGGCTCTGTTGAACCTCGTTAGCCAGCTCAGGGTAGAGGGTCCCCGATTCCGTCTCAGTGTTGGCAGGGACCCTTAGTGACCACGTACCGTTGGGGCTTTCAGGCGTCCTTTAACTGTGGAGCCCTTCCTTCGAACACAGCCCCGTCTGGAAGCCCAGACTATCACATGGGACACAAGCCACAGGGGGCGGGACACTGAGGCCTGTTCACTCAGGCCCTGCCCACTCCCCACCAGGCAGGTGCCGCCAAGCTGCCCGGGAGGACCACAGACCGGGCCCCTCTGTTCCACAGCTGGGAGAGTCACTGCAGCCCAGGCTGGGGGACTCCGCTGGGGGTGGGGTGGCTAAGCCAGACTAGAACCAGGGGATGCCCTGGCAGTGACTCAGGGTACAGTGTGTGCTGAATGCTCACAGAGACCACTTCTTGCCAGTGCACAGATGCGGATGGGCGGGCCGTGGACCGGGCCCGGGCCTGGTGTGAGATGGTTGGCATCCAGTACTTCAGGTGAGGACTCAGCCAGCATTGGCCCCAGCCCCATGCCCCGGCCTGGCCAGACCCAGTGACCTTCCCCACCCAGCCCTTCGTGCACTCTTCCCCTTTCCCCAAGCAGCTGCTCTGTGTCCCGAGCCCACCCCAGTCCTCGCTCTTGTCCCCCCACCCAAGCCAAGCCTCCTGGGGTGAGCCCTCCTCCTTGACCCAGACAGATTGAACCCCCAGCTGGGGACAGACATCATGCTGGACGAGGTCAGCGACACGGTGCTGGTCAATGCCCTGTGGGAGACTGAGGTCTATATCCACGAGCACCGGGAACAGTTCCAGAAGCTCATTCAGCTGCTGCTCTCACCGTGAGGCTGGGCTCCCAGCCACGCCCACCTCATTCCACCCACCCAGCCCCTGATGGAGAGGCTGGGCCATGTCTACCCAGCGCGCCAACTGGGCAGACCTGGGCCTGGGCGGCTCTGCATCTACAGACCGGACCGGGCCTCAGAGGGCGCTGGGCTTCCTGCCTGAGGCTGGTCCCCAAGGCCTGCCCCACTACCCCCACCTTCTGGCGCCTTTAGTCATTCCAGGCTTAAAAATCCTAGAGCCTCACTCGGGCCCTCTCCCCAGTAGCCAAGGACAACTGATGCTTGAGCCCCTAGACCTGGTGATTTAGACACTAAGGGGGTCTTACCGGTCCCCCCAAGACCCCTTCCACCCTCTGCCCTCTTCCCTGGAGGGGACGGGGATTGGAGAAACAGGCTGCTGCCCACCCATCAGCAGGGGAAGGCTGGGCTCCAGGAGCGGAGTTCCCTATCCGACTTTGCCCCTCAACACACACCCAGCACCTGCACCCCTCAGAGCTGCCCCACCCTGGGAGCTCTCCTCCGCTCTCAAAGGTCACTCCTGTAACCTCAGTTATTCTTCCCAACAGGAAGTGGTAGATGAGGGGGCGGGGCTCCAGGGGCTGCTCCAAACCGAAATAAATGGTTTGATTCCTGTTCAGCCGTGTTGTGTGCACTGTGCTGAGTGCCTCCGTCCCCCAGCGCCCCCAGCTCCCTTCAACCTGACTCATCATCCTGTGCCCCCTTGGATAAGTGCTCTGTTTCCCGGCCTCCCCCAGTGGGGGGGGGAGGGCACCACTCTTTTTCTCCAGGCCTCCCCAGATCAGGCTGGTGAGGGTGTTCAGAGGCGGCAGCTAAGCCCACTCGCCTACAGTGGGAAGCGTGGGCGAGCCCCATTTGCTGGGGCAGGAGATGAGACCCAGAGAGGGCAGGGGTCTTGGGCACAGTCACAGCCAGCGAGCGGGGCCAAGGTTTGTCCCAGGTCTGTGCGGCTCTAGGGTTCGTGCTGCCAGCATGAGGAGGTGGGCAGGCAGGGGCTGATGTGGGAGCCTCGGCCCTCGAGGTGCGGGGTGAGTGACTGGGGGAGAGAGGAGGCCAGAGAGCCGTGACGACTGGTGGCACATTTGGCCTTCAGGGCTGGGTCTGTCAGGGAGGGGCCCGGGGGAGGGCCCCCAGCTGCTCTGGCCCTGTAACTTGGGCAGTGCCCGATGTGCGCAGACGGTAGGGCAGGGGTACCCCCCCAGAGATAGGGGTTCCTGGTCGACCTAAGACAGTGACCCATCCACGCGTGCCCACTGGCCCACAGCTCAGAGGGGTAAATAATTGAAGGGCAGGTCACACGAACCTGCCCGCGTCACGGGATGCCTTCCGCCGGGTCTGGTTACGCCCCAGATCGCATTCTGACATCCCTGGCTGGTGAATAATTAAGCTGCCACCTCCTCCCTGGCCACCACCACCGGCAGGCCCTCCGTCTCCAGGTCCCACTCTGCAGCTTTCTTTGCTCCCTCAAAGCGGTGGGCACTGTAAGGGATCGACCCCCCGCGCTCCCGGCCCCGCCAGCACCTCTGGCCTCCTGCCCAGCACCCGACTTGCAGCCCACTCCATGGCCCCCGAGATGGACCAGGTCTATAGGTCCACCATGGCCATCTACAAGGTGAGCGAGCGTGTGGCCCAGGCCCCAGGCCCGAGTGCCCCTTCCCAGGGCTCGACGGTCCGGCCGGCTCTGGAGGACAGAGGGTGAGCATGACTGCAGCATGGTCTGGAAAGGAAGACCCAGAGTCAGGCTGGGTTGTGGTCACAGGGGTGGGAATCCCTGGCGGCAGTTAGCCACCCCAGCCCCAACCTGAGGCTCCCAGGGCAGAGGTTTGTCCACAGTCACCCAGTGAGTGACAGACCCGCCGAGACGGCACACCTAGACGCTGGACCAAGGCGGGACGGGGCCCAGGGTGGCCAGAGGTGGGAGTGAGTGGGGCCCCAAAGAGCCACCTGGCCCAGGACCAGAGAGTCCCTCTCTGTGTGTCTCTCTCTGTCTTCCTGTCTCTGTCCATCTCTCCTTTCTGAGCCCCTCACTCAAATTTTCTACTTCACACCAGAGGGGTTGCCGCTGTCCCCATAGACTTTTATTGGGCACCTCCTTTGTGCAGGACCCTTTCACATGTAAGCCTCACAACACCCTGCCTCTAGGATAGAAAATAATCAACCCAAAGGAGAGATGAGAAAGCCAAGGCCAGCATGGTTCAACAGCTTGTTCAAGGTCTCTGAACATCCCCGAGAGGCTTCTGCAATTTGAACCAAGACCCAAGTCTTAAGTCTATGCCCCAGGCTCTCTGCACCCCGAGGGTACTCTCCAGCTGGCCGTGGCCTAAGGTGGCCCGTGACCCAGCCACAGCCTCGCTGACAAGGGGCTCTTCTTTGAGGAAGGCAAGATCTGCCCTTGCCCCTGGGGTGACTGTCGGCCACCCGTGTGTCCAGCCAAGCGAGGCCTGGACCCAGCGCAGGGTTGAGCCACACCCAGCTGGGGGCCGCAGCAGACCACGAGCTTCCTCCCAGTGGGAGGAAGAGAACCTTCCAGGTGCATTGTCTTGGGAGCAGGTTCCTGCCAGGGCAGGTATGTGAGCAGAAGCTGGCCTGGAACAGGGATTCGGGGAGATGGCCTCCAGGCCCCTGCAGCAGAGTCAGGATTCGGGGTGACTCCACGCTTCTAGGCGGGTTCCCCTAGAGTCGGGCTCCTCTCTGGGGCTGGACGGGATCCCTGCGCCTGAGGCCCGGTAACTTACCTCTGCCCATCGACCTTTCTTCCTCTCCCTCTCCCAATCTTCGTTCGCCCTGGCTCCCGTTGGCCTGGGGCTCCCAGAGCATCATGGAGCAGTTTAACCCCGCCCTGCAGAACCTGGTATACCTTGGAAACAATTACCTGAGGGCCTTCCATGGTAAGTGGCCGGCCCGGGGCCCCCAGCCCCTCAGCCTCCACTGTCCCCATGCACCTGTCCCTCCATGCAGTCACCTGCACCCCCCCCATCGTCTGCACCACACACCAGACACCCCACTCAGGCTCACGTCTCCACACTCCCGTCCAGCACCCTCACCTGCGCACACCCACACCCTCCTCTGCCCGCTTCTTAGATGCCCCCTGGATGCTCCCAGAGATGCGGTGCCCGGTCCTGGCGGCCTCCATGGCCCCAACGGCGCACACTTCTGTATGTCACCCTGATCCTGCCCCGTGAGCCCACTGCTGTGCCCAGGCCCACCTCGGCAAGCCCGGCTTTGCGCCACAGCTGTGTGTCCTCACTCTGCCCAGTGCCCCCCACCCCCCGCCAACAGCTGAACCTCACCCACGGTGCCCGCACAAACAGCTACCCCTCCCCCATTTCCCAACAACCCCCACTCCACCAAGGCGATCACACCACCAGGGCTTGCAACCCTCTGTGCCAAGGACGAGCCAGGGCCGGAGCTGAGAGCCACCCACGCCCTCCCTGCCTTTCAAGACTTTGGAGTCAAAGCCTGCTTTCCCCCACCCCAGCTCCCCCAGCCTACCTGCACCCCACACCCCTACACCTGCGCATCACACCACACCTGCCCACACCCTCCCTGCGGGTACACATGGCTGCCTGCGCCCCCACCCATGACAGACACACGCTGAGTCCGGGTGCGGGGTACAGCTGCCCTGGGCCCTGCTCCACACCCGCTTCCTCCTCTGGTCAATACCCCGCGTCCACACACACCACCCGGGACACCCCTCCGTCTCCCAGACGCCTCTGCCAGTTCCCACAGTGTCCCCTCCACGCACCCTCTCCGGACAGGAGGGGTCTCCAGAGGGCGGGGGCAGATGGAGGAGGGGGCTGGGGCTACACACGTCCCCTGTCCCCACGCAGCTCTGTCCGAGGCGGCTGAGGTGTACTTCAATGCCATCCAGAAGATCGGAGAGCAGGCCCTCCAGAGCTCCACCTCGCAGATTCTGGGTGAGGCACTCCCCCTTCCACCATATCCCCCAATCTTTCTTGGACCTGAAGGGGCTCTCCTCCTGGCCCTGCATCTGCCCCAGGCCGCCTCCTGCGGCCAAGGGCCCTCTGTCTCCCTGGTGCCGTCACTCAGGGGCCTGCTTGGCTCACCAGCCTGGGATCCCAGAGGGGGTTCCTTTCCTGCTCTCACCATTCCTGGAAACCCCACCAAGCCACAGGCCTTGCAGCCCATGACAAGCCCAGAGCCCAGACTCTTGTTCTGGAGCCCAAGCCCCTCCCCGCCACTCCCTACAGGGCTATTCCAGGGCCCGGACAAGCATGGCCGTCCTCCCAGCGCCATATGGGAAATCCTTGGACTTTGGCCCCCAAATCCCGTCTCAGGCAGCCGCTGCGGCAGCTCCTAGCAGGAGGAGGGTGGGTGGGGCGGGCTGCCCCCGCTGAAGGCGGCTCTCCCTCCGTGCCTCCAGGGGAGATCCTGGTGCAGATGTCCGACACCCAGCGGCACTTGAACTCTGACCTGGAGGTGGTGGTAAGTACCGTGGCCCTGAGGCGTCACTCCGGAGAGCGGGCTGCTTTCCAGGGAAGACCGGGGCCCAACCCTCCACAGCCTTTCTCAAGGAAGGCTCCCTGCGGCCCTTAGTGACACACAAGCATGGGCTGCGCCTGCCAGGCTGTGCAGGGCGTGTGCACCTGCCATAGCTTGTTCAAGCTTCCGGCAACCCCAGGAGGCAGCCGTCACTTCTGTCTCCATTCTACAGGCCAGGAAACTGAGTCTTGGAGATCGAGTCCCTTGCTCCCAATTCCAGAGCGAGTGGAGGAACTAGGGAGAGAAAGGACCGCTGCCCAGGTGCACGCGGCCAGGCCCTGCTCCTCTCTGGCTCCCCAACCCCTCCCTCCAAGCTCCCAGGGAGCAGCCAGCCACTGAACCTTGTCACACCCATGAGAAAACCCCACAGAACTAAACCCAGTCTCCCCAGTGAGGGATCCCAGGCCCTGCTGACCCAGCAGCCTCCGTGTGGCACCCCTAGTCACAGCCCAGCCCCGAGAAGAGCTGCCCTCTGCAGACACGGCCTGGTACTCCTACCACTGGGCTGTCTTCATGCTGTTCTCTCAGCCTAGAAGCAGCCCCAGCCTTGCTGGCCAGCACCTTACCAGGCCTCCCTTGACCCCGGGCAAGCTCATTACTTCTTCTAGACTCCAGCGGATGCTTCTATGCATTCTTAGCACACGGTAGTTAAGAAAGCCAGCTCTGCAGCCAGAGCACCTGGGTTCACAGCCCAGCGCCACCTGCCACGGGCTTGTGACCTTGAACAAGGCTCTCTGTACTTTGGCTTATCTGTCTGTACAATGAAGACAATCATAACTACTGGCAGGACTCTTGGGAGGGCCAGGTGAATTCGTAAGGATAAACTAGTTGCTCTCCATGCATCTTCATGGTGATAATAGGCAGCAGGATCTACCGGCCTGTTTCTATCCCTGCCAAGACTGGGAGCCCTGCAAGGGCTGGGGCGGGGCCTGGCACTGAGCAGGGCTTCCCTGACTCTGGATGGAAAGAGCAAGATTTGAAGAGAGTGGGGGCTGGCCACGTGGGGAGATGAGAAGGCGTCCCCAGGGGGCACGGTGGGCAGAAGTGAGCCAAGGATGGGGAGCTGGGGCAGAGCATGAGAGGGCCTGGTGGTGACGGGTCTTGGAAAGCTCAGGAGGAAAGGTCAGCTCATTGTGACAGCACATGGCTCTCAAACGTGTGTGGGGGGAACCCTTGGAAGTCAGGGTGCACTTTGGGGGACACCAGAAAATACTCAGCAGTTTGGCTACCATGCCAAAATAGGGAACAATTTCAGGAGCAGTAAACGTGCATCCACCTGCCCAGGATAAAACCCTGGTCCGGGGCCCATCTCTGGGACACCTGCAGGCTTAGGGCTCAGCCGTGCCCCGTGCTGGGGCTCAGGAGGGGAGTCAGGAGCGCAGCTTGTGCTGGTGGCCTGTGGCTTCCCATCCTCGGGCCCGCCTGGGCTGGATGGGACGAGTGTCATCCAGGCCCTCTCTGTAAGGAGAGCTGCCGTCCCTGGGCACCAGTGTCTTGGCTGTGACAACCGGGCAGGGCCCTTGGCCAGAACCATACCAGACCCGGCGCAGCCGATGCTGCCTTCCCCGGGGGCTCCTTCACCCGACAGCCATCTACAGCTGGGTGCTGGGTGCCGTTGCAGGCCTGGCCGGGGGGGTGGGGCATGGACAGCAGACAAAACCCTTGCCCGCCCCAAGGGTGGGGCCAGACAAAACCCAAGACCAACAAGTGAGTATATATGCAACGGGATAGATGCAAAATGTGCTCTGGAGGAAAATAGAGCAGGGAAGGTGCATAGTGAGTGTTGGTGGGCTGCAATTTTTATTTATTTATTTATTTATTTATTTTTTTAAAGATTTTATTTATTTATTTGAGAGAGAGAATGAGAGAGAGAGAG